GGGAAGGTGGGAACCTGGTACCAGAGTGGTTCAGAGGTAGAGGATGAACTGGAACAGCTGCTGGTGCCTAGATTAGGTGCTTAGGAAAAAGGTGAATTTTCGAGTTTGTGGGCAAGATGCTAGAGAGCCAGTCTCTCCTGGGGAAGCTACGAGAGCGTGGTTTTTGAATGGAACCTGAAGGGTTTTCCAGGAAAAACCAGCCAAACAAGAGTCCAGTTCTGTAAGGATTCAGGAACTGCCAGCACCCAGCAGATCTGGGAATGAAGCAGGTTGGTGGAGCTAAGATGAGCCTGTCCTTAGAGACTGCTGGACTGTGAAATCCATCTGCGTAAATATAATTTGCTGCCCAGGCAGGTTTGTGTTTTGAGATGTCTCGCCTTGTGAGGAGTAGATTTTTGTGTGGTACAGGTGTGGGGCTCCTGCGGTGGCACCATGTGTTCTGTTGGGGGGTCTAGGGGCAGGGCTAGAGTCTAAAGAAGAGAAGCCCCCGTGAGGCTGGGACCATGTCAGGTATGAGGTGGAAAGTGTGTTGATCTGGGAGTTAGGGGACCTGGGTTCTTGCCAGAAACCTTGTCAGAACCTTCCCCCTGGGTTTCTCCATCTGTAAAATGGGATTTCATAGCAAGGCCCTGCTTACCTCCCAGGCGATGGGTAAGTGGAAGTGCTTTGTAGCATCTCTCTGTGTGCTCCCTGCCCACGCCCTTTTCTTCAGGTGCCCAGCTGGGCGGATGGCAGCATGAACACAGAGTGCCGAGTCGGTGCTGGGATGTGCTCAGATGCCTTCTCATCTTCCTGCCGTCCTTGTTTGTACTTCCAAGTGTCCTCTCTTCCCACCCTGTTTGCAGCTTAAGGGATAGTTTAGCTTTCCGTCTGCTAGGCTGAAACAAACGCTGGCAAAATTTGGAGGCAGTTGGCAGCCAATCAAAGAAGAGAGCAGGGATATTCGGGCCAAGGCTGGGGGCCTTTGGGCCTCTGAATTAACATGTTATCTTCACTCCTCTCCTTTGGTTAATGGTGATTATGGATGTGCCTCCAGCATGACAAAGCAGAGAGGTTTAGTGTCATAAATCTATGAAGTTGCCAGAGGAGACTGTGAGTTTACTGGAAAAAGATACGATGGAGTTGGGATCCTTTTTCATATAAACTAAAAAAAATTTTTTTTAAAATTTTGTTTATTTTTGGCTGTGCTGGGTCTTCGTTGCTGAGTGCGGGCTTTCTCTAGTTGTGGCGAGCTGGGGCTACTCTTTGTTGCGGTGCGCGGGCTCCTCATTGCGGTGGCTTCTCATTGCAGAGCACAGGCTCTAGGCATGCAGGCTTCAGTAGTTGTGGCACACGGGCTCAGTAGTTGTGGTGCACGGGCTTAGTTGCTCTGCAGCATGTGGGATCTTCCCGGACCAGGGCTCGAACCCATGTCCCTTGCATTGGCAGGCAGATTCTTAACCACTGTGGCAGGCGGATTCTTAACCACTGCACCACCAGGGAAGTCCCTGGGGTCATTTTTCAAATCTCCTTTTTTGATGTGTCTACATGTATCTGCTTTAAAGGTTGCTTGAAAAAGATACCCTCTATCCTGGTGTTGGGAATAGACAGGCAAGACGAGGAAGGCCAACGTGCTGGTTGGAAATGACATGGCCACAGGAAAGTAACTGTTGGAAACTCAGTTACAGTCAAGACTAGCAGAGCTACCTGAAGAGAAATCAGATGCATGAGTGAGTTGGGACTGGAGGCTTGCTTTCTTCAGTAGGTTTCTGGGCCTCTGGCATAGGGCTGTCGTGGATCAGAACCAGCCAAATGGAGCAGTTACAGGGAAATTGGCCCCCAAGAATCTGCTTATCTCCTCTTGGCTGTGGGTATAGAAAAGTAAGAGTGAACAGTGGGGCCCAGTGTCGCATTTTTGCTTCTCTGTTTTCGCATGTTGGAAGTATCTAGGGTATTCCAGAAGCTCAGGAGGGCTGCTGGCATGGCTCTTAGGTGACTCCAGAAGTATTCTTTCCAAGGTGGTTAGGGGCCCCTGTCTGCTTTCTATATACTGTAGCTTCTGAATGTAGCCTTTGATGGGCCTGATGCTGGGTAACTCTCTACAGCCTCCAACTTGGTCCCTTGCCTACAGTGAGTAACTTTACTGCTGGGACAGTGGTAAAGAATACCAGCTTTGTTTCTTTCTTGGACTGCTCCTGACAGGTGGGGTTGAGGAGTGGGGTTAAGTTCATGTCTGGATGATTGAAATTCCAAGTTGACAATCCTTGTCCCAAACCATTAAGGTCAGATGTATTTCATAAGTCTGAATTATTTGGATTTTAGAAAGGCAATACAGTGAACGTGGTTTTTTTTTTTTTTGGCTGCGTCGGGTCTTCGTTGCTGCATGTGGGCTTTTCTCTAGTTGTGGCGAGCGGGGGCTACTCTTCGTTGCGGTGCGCGGGCTTCTCATTGTGGTGGCTTCTCTTGTTGAGGAGCTCGGGCTCTAGGTGCGCGGGCTTCAGTAGTTGTGGCACGCAGGCTCTGTACTTGTGGCTCGTGAGCTGTACAGCTCAGGCTCAGTAGTTGTGGCACATGGGCTTAGTTGCTTCACGGCATGTGGGATCTTCCTGGACCAGGGCTTGAACCTGCGTCCCCTGCACAGGCAGACAGATTCTCAACCACTGTGCCACCAGGGAAGCCCCAGTGAACGTGTTTTACAGACACTCCCAGTGGGGTCTGGGACAGCACCCCGTATTCAAAATACATTCTTTTTGTGGAAAATGTGTGTATACTCACCATAAATGGAATAAAGAAAGTCTGTAAGTAGCCCCAGCTCAGTTCAAGTCATATCTGCTACCAAATTAGTTTTGAAAAAAAACCAAACAAACCAAAAACAGACTTTTGGTTTTTAGAGCTTTTTGGATTTGGCGATTGCAGTTAAAGAATTGTGGACCTGCAATTGTCATTGGTTTTGCACTTTTAATCAAATTGATCCACAGGGGAAAGGCATGTTCTTGATGGATATTTTCTTGGCGGGGTTCTCTGATGAAGTATTGTGTGGGTAATGGACTCCTGGCCGTGTTCCTTTCAAGACCCTTTTTCTTTTCCATTCTTTCTCTTCTTCGTGGCAGGGATTCAAGCAGGTGTCTCTACTTATAGTGATTTTCCTTATAGTACCCTTTCCTCTTAAGTGTAGATTCTGAGAGAACTGAAGGACAGAATATAAAGAATATACTCGTGACAAAGCAAACTAGCCCATAATGCAGATAATGTCTGCTCATAAATGCTCACCACAAGAGAGGGACACATATCAATGATTTTGTATATCCTCACCATAAAGTCACTGTAGGTAAAGTAACTCCATAAACATGAGTTTCATTCTTTTGTCAATCCTTCTCCTGCTGAATGTCTTTTTTTTTTTTTTTCCTGAATGTCTTTGATCAAACCTTCAGCACATCTGGCTGCCTGGAGTGTCTGAATCTCCTGGGGCATTTGTTAAAATGCGCAGATTCCTGGAACCCCAAACTTCTGGAATCAGCATTCCCAATGGGGGGAGCCCAGGAATTTGCACATTTTATAAGTGCTCTGCAGGGCTTTCCTTGTCCCTCTTGAGAACCAGTGCTTTGGTGCAGTCAGACTGCCACGGCTGTAGGTTTTTGAAGGCTGTAACCCAGGCCTAGTTCAAACCAAGTAGCATGGAACTGATGGTCTCTTAGAAGGACCAGGTTCTTTTTGTTTGGTTTGAGCAGGGAGACTAGAAGAGGACCCACTTAGTCATGCTTCGAAACAAACCAATCAAATGTGAAGGAGGAAAATAATAATAATAGAAGAAAAACAACGGAAGTTTAAAAACATGTATACCTCCTGTATACATGAGGGAGACTCAGGAAAACTGACTAACTCCCTGAAATGGCCCAATCCACCACCTAAATACCATCTTCAGCCAAAGTTAAAACAAAGATGTTGAGTGTTGGTTGGTGGGTAGGGGTGGAGGAGACCAGTTCCTGGAGGTGACCAGGAAAAGCACAGTGAACAAGGGTAAGGTGGTTAGGCAGATTTAGGTCCTTGCCTTCTCCATTGTTGAGAGTTTCTAGAGATTTCGAGTCTTCCTTCTTTTCCTAGAGGGAGACACCTTAGCAAATGGAGATTTTCCTTATAAGTGTAGATGTCTCTTACAGAAGGGTAACTTCTACACAGTTTTCAGAGCTTTTCCTATGTCTGTTGTTTCTTAAAAACAACCAGCCTAAAGTAATCCTTATGCCAAAGAAACAAACTTTGGGGTAGCAAATTCTGCTCCCCTTCAAAATCAAAGGGAGGTTAAGGGCCTGGGGGGTGGCAATATTGATAGGATTGCCAGATGAAATACAGGCTGTCCAGTTAAATTTGAATTTCAGATAAACAATGAATAATGTTTTAGTATATGTACGTTCCATACACTATTCAGGATATACTTATACTAAAACATTGTTCATTGTTTATTTGAAATTCAAATTTAACTTGGCATCCTGTATTTTTCTTTCTAAATCTGGTAAAGCTAGGTATTGATTAACCCACCTTCCCCCATGGGAGGCAAACCAGATGGCATTTGTGTATTTGTCCTATCTCAGAATCCATTTTTACTTGTCCTAGGTTAAAAGCTTGTCATACTGGCTACTCGCGTCATGCTGATCTTGAAGAATTGAAAAACTGAGTCTTCTAGAGGTTAAGAGGAAGTGTTTTAGAGGCTGAAATGGCTTAAGAAAAGCTCTCCCCATCTCTTACCCCTCCACCAATTACTTCTTCCGCTCTTCATCCATCTCTTTCCCTCTCTCCCCGACCTACCCCTTCCCCATCACACACACACAGCCGGAACAGACAGGCACACACAGATGCATGTGCAAACACAGACATGTTTGGAACACCACCTGCTTGTCTTTTAAAGACTTTTATGTTACATTTTCTGTGTAAGAGTTTGGTTATTAATTATTATTATTAAAATAACACTGTCTCACTGTGTCCAGCATTTCTCTTGATAACCATACTTAATTTTTTTTCCATTGCAGATCTTTCTCCTGGCCTGCCCTCCATGTCCGGGAGCTGTCGTCGTCTTCAAGTAAGGGGAGATTGTTTTTCTGTTGCCATTGCTGAACTGCCTTGTCTGTTTGATAACAAAGGATGATGAACACATTGCTTGTGACCACCTTGAACCTGCAGTGCTTTGTGTCTGGGCTTCCCAAGGGACAAAAGTCTTCAAGGGTCCAATGAAACAGGCAAATGTTGTATGTGGAGATTTGGCCTTTGTGCTTTTGTCAGGCCCTGACAGATCCTTTTTAGCGATTCTTTGTGGTGGTGTTTTATGGCCAAGACATTCCCCCTTGGAAGTTTGCCGCCCTCGTAAAGTTTCTCTTGAGTGTGCTCAAGTTTCTCTTGAGACAGCTCCCCTCCTTTAGCGAATCTTTGTACTGTGGTCCTGCTGTTCCACTGAGGATACTTTGAAGGACTTTGTTTTGTGTTTTTATGGGGTTTTTTTGTTGTTAAAGTGCAAATTAAATTGAGGAGAGAAAAATATCACCTTATTACAAGTCCTGACTTTCTTTAAAATTGAAAAGCATCAGATCCATTAAAGTGTATTGCAGGCAAATCACCTTTGTCTGAAGGCAAGTTTGCTTAAATGAAATTCTCAAGAGTCCCGGAAGGCTCATTTTAACCACCAGTTGTGACCATCTCATTTATCAAACCTTTTATTAGAGTTGCTAATGAGAAGCTAAATCGACCCAATTAATTTTGTCTCTTTCCCCCTTCTCTGGCCCCCATTTTGGAGCTGTTTCTGAGCAGGGAAATGGCTGCAAGCCAGAGAGAGAGGGCAAAAAGTAAAGAGCCCAGCCAATCCTTAGATAATTGAGAGTGGTGTAAATGGCTTTCTGATTTAGTTAAGTCTTTAAAGTGTTAGGTAGGGGAAAATATACCCTATTTGCTGCTTCGGATAGCTCCTTGGAATAGCCACTTAGTCTCTTGCCTAAGGTGAATAACTTTCTGCTGGTTGAGGGGTAATGGATCCTGATTTCATAAGCTCTTACTTGGACAGCTTCTAAGCGGAAGGTGTATTTAACCCTGTTTTCCCCCCTTGATTTCCCAAAATGGGCTCAATTTTTCAGTGTCATGTTTTAAAAGTCACATTTATTGGTTTTATTTCATTATTATGAGAGTAACAGTTCTCATTATAGAAAATGCAGAAACGTAAAGGAGAAAATAAACACCACCCCTAATCCCACCAAGAGATTATTTTGGTTATTGCCTGCCTTTTTTGCTTTTTTTAAAATTTAACAAGCAGAGACCACATTTAGGTTTTTTTATTGTATCTTTTATAAATTGAATTCAATTTATGTGTGTTTGTACATATAAAATACATAAATATAACTGCTGGATTTATTTTTTTATAGTGGTCCTTTTTACCCTGTCCTTTTCCTTATTTGGTTTGTCCCTTGCCTCTACCTTTCCACATCATCCCTGTATATTACCAAACCAGTATGTATCCTTCCATATTTTCTCCATGCTCACAGGTATACACACGCACACACACACGCACACACACACACACACACACACACACACGGGTTTTGGAATGTTTTGCTGTTTTTGTTAATTGTTTTATAAAAATAGAATTCTATATATACTTTAACACATCCTACTTTTTTCATCTCATGAAAATCTATCAAAGCCTCTTGGTATGGCTCTTATTCTTTTAAAAGACTGGAAAATATTTCATGGATGCACTATTTATTTAGCTATTCCCCTACTAATGAACATTTACATTCTTTCCAGATTTCGGCCACTACAGTCGATGCTTGAATTAAACATCATTGTGCTTATGCCCTTATATACTGGTGCTTTCAATTTATACACACAGACACAAATGTTTATATATAAATAAATATTTGTTTCCAGATTGATTTACAAAAACAGGCTGTTATAATTCACTTTTCCCTTTTATATGTAACATATGAGATTATTGTTTGTTTCACATCCCTACTAGCATAAGGTTTTATGGTTCTTTTATAATTCTGACAACTTAATGGATGTATTTCCTTGGCTACTAATGCATTTTGGTTTTGTCTCTCTCTCTCTCTCGTGAGACTTTCTCTCTCACAAGAGAAAGTCCAATTGGATTTTCTCTTTGAATTATCTGTTCATATTATCTGCCCATTTCCTAGGGGTTATTTATATTTTTCTTAACCTGTAAGCCCTCTTTGTATATTTTGGATATTGGCCCTTGGTCTACCATCTTTATTATAGATATCTTCCCCAAATCTGTATGTATTGACTTTACTGATGGTATATTTTTCCACATAATCTTTTTCATATCCAAATATGATTATTTTCTTATAGCTTCTGGGTTCCCAGTCTTTGTTAAGACTGTTTTCTCAAAGATGGATAACCAGTGACAGTAGCATAATATGTTAAGTAATCCTTACTCTCCCCTGTGAACTGAACTGCTATCTTTGTGTCATGAAACTTTTTATATACGAGGATCCATTTATGGAGTCTCTGTTCTGTTTCATCTGTGTGTCTATTTGTGTACCTAAATCATGTTGATTGGATTACATTAGATTCAATAATATTTTTCTTGGCTATTCTTCGGTATTTTTTCTTTTCTGCACATTTTAATATCACTTATTCAGCCCTCCCAACCCCACCCTATTGGGATTCTAATTAGAATTGCATTAAATTTATATTTCAGTTTTGTAAGAATTGATTTTTTAAAACCTATAGCTCTTTTTGTCTAAGAAATGGCATTTCTTTCCATCTGCTCAGATCTTGTTTTATGCCTTTCTTGATACATTTATTCTTAAAGATTTAAGGACTTTTTTGTTTGTTATGAGTGGAATACTGTCCTCCTTTCCATTCCTAAATGCCTCTTGCTAGAATAGAAAAAGTTTATTAATTTTAAAAATAGTTTTTATATCTAGCTATCTTACCTAATTGTTTTGTTAGTTCTGGTAACTTTTATTTTAGTTTTATCTTTTCTTTCCAATGGTTATATCATTTTCTTCTGTTTTTGCTAGAAACTCAAAGACAGCGTTAAATAAAAATGATGCTGGTGGGCCACTCTGTCTATAACTAATTTCAAATAGAAATGGTGTTCCTCCATATTTGCTGTTGGTATTTGTCAAATAGTCTATTATATTTAAATAGTCTCCACATTTACTTGGAGATATTTTAAACGGAAATGGTTCTGTATTTTATCAAATGCTTTTGATAAACTAGGGTTTATTGGGGTGGCTTGTTATACTATCCCATCGATGTCTCTGCTGAGTTTGCCACCAATTTCAGACTCTTGTATTTGTAACAGCCAGCAGCCAGATTTCTCTTCACCATTCTTCCCAGACTGTTCCTTTACTCACACTTTTTTCATAGCTAGTCCGAACCATTTTTTCCTTCCAAATGAACTTAAAATGTTTTTGTCAGACTCTTCCTCCAAATACTGTTATTTTGATTGGAATTACTTTAAATCTAAAATTTCGTTAATGTCATTACCATAGTGAGTCTCTCTATCCGGGAAAAGACATATGGTAGATTTCTTAATTTATTCTAGGGTGTGTGTGTGGATGGTGTATCCCGCAGATTTCTCATCAACGTCATTCCTGGACAGTTTGTAGTTTGTGGTATCATGTATTTATTATATTTTCAAACTAATTATTACTGGTACATAGGAAAGATTTTGATTTTTTTATATGTTTATTTTATATTTGGCCACCATGCTTAACTCTTTTAGTAGTTTTTCAGTTGCTTCACTTGGATTATTTTGGAAATTAATAGTATCAACTTCCATATGATAACTTTATCTCCCTTCAAAGAGCAACTTTTTTCAAGTCTGATTGTATTAACTAGAACTTCCAGGACGATGTTAAATAATAGTAGTACTGGCCGGAATTCTTGCCTTGTTTCTGATTTTAGTGGAAATGTTCCTAGTGTTTTCTCTGTTGACTCTCATGTTATTTGTTGGTTAAGATTAAACATCCTTTATAATGTTAAAGAATTTATTCTTAAGTTATCAACCCCCCCTTTTAAAATCAGGAATGGTTGTTGAATTTAGCTAACGCTTTTTGAGAATCTATTGAGAGGTTCATTTGGGTTTTCTCCTTTGACCTCCCCATTTGGTGCGTTACATTAATAGATTTCCTAATAACAACCTTTGTTGGATTTCTAAGGTCAGCTTTCCTTTTCCTCTGCATACTTGGGAGAGGTTCAGATCTGACCACCATACTATGAATTTGGTAGATTCTGCTCTTTGCCATCTCCAATGTGAAATTTAATTCTGCTGCAACAATATTTCTTTGTAATTCTTCCTTGGTTTGCTGAGCTTTCTCTTCACTCCAGTTTGGTGTCTTTCCTTCTCAATATGTTTTGATTCCAGTGGCTTTCTATACCTGTTTCACAGAGTCCATGTTTTCTTGTGTTCTCTTGAGGATGCCATCTTCTAAAATATTTCTTCTGGTTCGGACACTAAATGTAGACTTTTGTGCTTCCTCCAAGTCTTCAGAATGATACACGTTTCCCTTCTGCTGCTGGAGGTTTTCATAGGAAGCATGCTGTCTTTGGGGGTATGTTTATGCATATTAGAAGGAAGATTTATTTATTCTTTGTTAAAGACACAGGGCATGTGGATTTCATTTGAGTATCCTCATATTCTCTTTGGTATTGGTTAGAACCCCTTCTCAGCTCCACTCCTGGTGGCCAGTTTGATGCACAGAGCTTCCAACCCATTTCCCAGTGTCTAGCGGCTTCATCTGGTGGGTTCTGCTAGACGCATATAGAATCGCTTAGTCCTACTACTAGATTCTCTGACATGCTGAACATATAAAGTATGTGAAAAACTACAGCCTCCAACATGCATTGGTCCCTGAGTTTTACTTGTGAAGTCTCCCACTCCCAGAATGCAGTGTGACAGTACCAAAGCCATCACTTCAGCCCTTTCGGTGTGTGGGAGGAGTCTCCAAATGGATATAGACCAGCTTTGGGAGTTGTTGGTTTTCCTTGCAAACAGTAGCCCTGTAGTGGAGGCATCGCTGTCCAGTTTACTGGTTCCTAGATGATCTCTCCATTGCTAAGCCATGGGGCTGACAGTGCTGTAAGGTCTCAGTGTTTTACTATCTCGTTTCAGGTTTCTGCTGCACGAATTGGCCCCAGGTTGTTTTTTTCTCATTTCAGCCTTAGGTTTATTGTTAATGGAGATTTCTTCCAGATTATTCTAACAAGATGGCCATTAGTCTAAGTTTTCAGTAATTTGGGGGAGTTTTCTCATTTTCTGTATCTTGATAGGTATTTTAGTGGAAAGCTGGGACAGGCTGTGTTAGTGGTGGTTAAGCAAATGCTATTTTAAACTAGAAATCCAGTGTGTGTGTATGTATGTATATATGTGTGTGTGTGTGTGTATAAATATATATGTATTTTAATTTTTGGCCGCGCTGCGCAGCTTGCGGGATCTTAGTTCCCCGACCAGGGATCGAACCCACACCCTTGGCAGTGAAAGCGCAGAGTCCTAACTACTGGACTGCCAAGGAATTCCCTATATTTTGGTTTAGAGTAGTGGTCGGCAACCTTTTTCTATGAAGGGCCAGATAATAAATGTTTTAGATGTTGTAGGTGATGTGATCTGTGTTTTAACTACATACCTGTTGTTGTAGAATGAAAGCAGCATAGACAGTACTGTATGTATACAAATGAGTTTGGCTGTGTTCCCATAAAACTTTTCAAAAACAGGAGGACTGGTCGAAAAAGTTCTGGAGACGGATGACAGTGATGGTTGCACAACACTGTGAAGGTACTTAATGCCACTGAACTATACACTTAAAAATGGTTAAGATGGTAAATTTGATATTATGTGTATTTCACCACACAAATCACCCCCCTCCTGACCCAAACGTAACAGGAGGACCATATTTTGCTGACCCTGCGTTTAGAGCCATTCGGTCTAGCACACAGAAAGAGAGGAGGAGGGAAGAGGAAATTCCATGTGTACAGGGACTTTGCTCAAAGCTCAAAGGCAGTGAGGCAGATTTCTCGAGTATTTAAAAGGAATATCATAGTTGGAGTGGGGTGGGGTTCTGGAAAGCTGCAGTTCATCCTGGTGATATCATCCCATGCTCTTTAGGGATAGAGATACCCAGAGTTTATAGTCACACTTTCTGGCATAACGATCAGAGCGGGGATTTTCTCCTCCCGAGGCTTGGGGAACCTCTGCAGCTGTCGCAAGTGTTCATATCAGATGCAACCGAAAAGCCAGCCAGTCCCTCCTTCTCGGCGACTGGTGATGCTTCCTGTAGATGATCTGGTCTCTTCCCAAGGCTAGAAACTCCTAGTTTCTAGTTTATCCTAGTTTATCCAGGTTCACTGGATAAAAAGGAACAGCCGCTCGTCTGAGTCAGCTGTTGCTGCACCTCCTTTCCAAGATTCTTGTGCCATTAGGATTTACTTGTCAGCTGGAGACCTAGGCCCTTCACCTCTGGAAACAACGCTGCTCTCAGGACCCCAAGCCACATTTCTCTCAGTGGTGTGGAAAACATTCTCCAACTTCCCAGCTCTAGCCTTGGCAGCCCTCAGCGTTTCTAAGACCTGGAAAGAGCTTGAAGTCTAACCGTGGCCTCCCACCTCCCTGGGGGAAGCAGGTCTCTGGTGTGTTTAATGCTGTTCTTAGAGCAGAGTTAGCATATCCAGATCCATTTATATGGTCGTGCCCCATCTGAAGCTGAAGTCGGAGGACATCTAAGAGCTCTCTGTTGCACCTGAAAGGCGGGCTTGGTGCTGAAGGCCCACCAGTCATGTGACCTGCAGGCATGGCCAGGGCAGCCTTGGGCAGCGCTGGGTAGCTCGGAGTTTCGTGCTCTCTGTTGGAAGGAAGAAGTCGTCAACACTTGGTAGCTAGCTTTCACTCCCCCTTCCCTGTCTCCATGGATCCCGCCACCATAGAGGGCTCTGAGTGCCAGTAGCCTCTTAGCAGCCAGGATGCCGAAAAGCAAGCTGAAAACTGGCTTTAGAAAAGGATGGAATTCTTGGTTTCACAAGGGCCTAGGAACCTCGTCGAGAAGCCAGCCTTTTGGAACGTTCCTGTCTCTGAGCTGGGGTATTCTGAAGGAATAGATGGAGGAAAAGGGAGTGACTAGCTTTGGGTTGTGACCAGCCAACTTAGCTGTCTTGTGAGCACCCGTGGCAGAGAACTCTTCCCCTACCCCACCCCAGGTAAGAAAAGTGCATGGCCCAGAGCTGGTTTACATCCTCTGCCTCAGGAAGTGTAGGGTACGGGCACCCCCACCTCCCAACGCTGAACCCCTTAAATCTGCTTATTTTCATGTACCCATGGAAGGGAGTGGACCTGTGATGCAAGCAGTATTATTTGGTCATGAGTGTCTGCTGACTCAATCTGGAGAGGCTTTTGAAGGAGATGAGATGAAATTTCATCTGTGCTACAGAGAGCAGGGGTGCATTGCTGGATGGAAAGAGGTCTGGAGGCCGGGTGTGAGCCAAGGTAGGTGAGGGAAGCATGGGGGTGCGTGAGGGCAATTACGACAGCCTGACATGTGATCTTGGCATTGCAAGATTGATGCCCTGTTGGCCTTGGGGCCACATGGTATCATGAGAGTTCAGTAGCCCCGTGACCCTCTCTTTCTCTAGATCCCATTTATTATACACTCAAATTTTTAAACAGCAGGCTTCTCCCCAGGGAGACTCGTATCTCTAGGACTGTCCTGAGTTCATGAGGTGGGCTCAGGCTGAAGCTGCTGTCTTAGTGGTTTCACCGTCTCAGCACCCCCTTTCCTAGTGCTCAACAGACCCGCTGCTCTGGAACCCCCAAAGGAGCAGCCTTTAGGCATCTTCACCTCAGAGGTAGCTGCTTTTTGGTCTAGCTTTGGACTCATGACTGAAAAGGGTGTTTGAGAGACTGTCTCTGACCTGAGCAGCGTTATTAAGACTGTTCTTGGCATGGGAGAGGCAGCCGTACATATGAATGCTGTAGATTTCAAAGGGAAAGATACTGGAAACCTAAAATCCGTAGTAAATAAACAGCAATTCAAGGACACCAATTTCCTTTCTGATACGGAAGCTGCTCTGGTGTCTGCGGTCCTCTGAGCCGCTGCCACGTTGCTGCCTGCAACTATGCGTATTCTCCCTTAATGCATGGAAGAGGGAAGAAGCTTTCAGACTGTTCACGGGTCTCCCCTCCCCTTCCATACACAGCAGAAGCAGCCTTTCTCCCCACGTGTACATATTCAATTTTGTTCTCTCCTGGGAATTTTTGACTTCTACAGTCTTAGACCACAGTTTCTTTCTGTCTTTTTTTAAAAAATTTTATTTACTTTTGGCTGTGTTGGGTCTTCATTGCTGCATGCGGGCTTTCTCTAGTTGTGGCAAGTGGCTACTCTTTGTTGCGGTGTGCGAGCTTCTCATTGCAGTGGTTTCTCTTGTTGTGGAGCATGGGCCCCAGAGTGCACAGGCTTCAGTAGTTGCAGCACACAGGCTCAGTAGTTGTGGCGCATGGGTTTAGTTGCTCCACGGCATGCAGGATCTTCCCAGACCAGGGCTTGAACCCGTGTCCCCTGCACTGGCAGGCAGATTCTTAACCACTGTGCCACCAGGGAAGTCCCTGGCCCACAGATTCTGATTCAGTATTTTCATCTCCCCAAATTCTCTCCTGGAAGTCTCTCTGAAGGCTTTTGGAGCAGGGACTGCTTCTGTCTTTTTTTTCTCCCTCGTTGGGCTGTTCTGCTTTCAACATGTGCTTGAATGTACGCAATTTCCCGGTAAAAGCAAGGCCGGAGATGCAGATGACTTTTCCCATCTGGGGAAGCATGAAAAGGAGTTCTCAGCAGAGGAGCGGGGACTGATCGTTTTGGGCCTCTTTGCACTTTGTCAGCACACCTAATCCTTTTGGAAGCCAAGTTCAGAATCTACTGTGCTGATTATTGGGCAAAAGTAATTCCAGGAGGGAAAAACAGTACAGGATAATAGATAAGGTTTGGGTAAGCTATGTAGGAGCTGTTCAGTGGGTAATGAAAAAGTAGGGGGAATTCCCTGGCGGTCTAGTAGTTAGGATTCTGCACTTCCACTGCTGGGAGCACGGATTCAATCTCAGGTCGGGGAACTAAGATCCTGCATGCCGCACGGTGCGGCCAAAAAAAAATAAAAAAGAGAGAGAGAGAGAGAGAGAGAGAGAAAGGAAAAAAAAAGAAAAGAAAAAATAGACATTTCATTCTCATTATAAGAGTAATCCAGTCACTATAAGGAAAACATCAAGCATTACAGAACAATAGAGAAGAAAATAAGAATAAGTGATAATTCCTCCATTAATATGTTGGTATAATTTCCTCCCAGTCTTCTGTGTATATATGCCCATTATGAAAAACAAAATTGGGATTATTTTATACATGCTACTTTGTAATATAGTAAAAGTTAATATGCTATAATTGTTTCCCAGTGTCATTAAATATTCTTCTAAACATGATTTCTAATGACTGCATAGTATTTCATCATTTGAATGGACATAATATGTATTTAAACCGTGCCCTGTTATTCGACATTTGGTTTGTTGGATAGATGTGATTTGTGGAATCTTGAGAGCAGTGGAAGTAGATGGCTTCAGGTTATAGTTCTGCTATTTCTTAAGCCTTCGGAGCAAGGCTTAAATCTTAGCATCTATTTCCTCATTTGTCAAAGAAGGCTATGAATGGTAACTACTTCTTTGGTGGTGACAATTAGATGAGAGATGATCCACGTTAATCTCTTAGCGTGAAACCTAACATAGACTCAGTAATCAATAGGTGTTAATAATATATAGAATTATCCTTGTCCTTAGGCTTCACCATCTGTGTACTAACCTAACTGTTAGAATTAGGATCCCAGGGAAGGAAAATTGCTTTCATGCAGATAAGTAGAATTTCAGAATGAAAACTGCCTTCGGAGAAGTAACCCTTTTCATTAGTTGGGCACTTTCCAGATTGGGCCTTGGGCCAACTTCATGAAATTCACAGGAAGAAAGGTTTTGGAGCCCCTGCAGTTGTGTAGCCCCATTTGGTCCAGAACAAGGAAGTGGGAAACCACCAGTTGCAACCAGGAAGTTTATCTTCGTGCCCACAGGCAAAGCCAGCCAAGCCTTCCTGTTGTACTTGTTTGGTTTTCTTTACTTGTTTTTTTTATTTTCCAACTTTTATTCTGAAATTTTTCAAACCTTTGGAAAGGTGAACAGGGCGGTACACCAAGCACGGTTATGACCTCCACCTAGATTCAGCGGCTTTTGGCATGCTTTCTGATAAGTGAGTTCAAAGATGTAAGATCCTAACTGCATTCCCTGCTACATGACAGGCTTGTGCTGTGGGGCCTCACACAGCGGGCAAAACGTATATACTCTGAGACCAAGGGCTTACGGAAACAGAAGTAGAGTGGAAGGACCCTAGGCTCTGGGATGATAGAAATATATCTATTGTTTTTATAATACAAATTACAGAAAGCAAATCTTAACGTAGTTCCTGGCTGAAGGGAAAAAAGTCGATCCAGACGTCAATCAACATGACAATGTATAACTTCTAATATATTCATATAATTGAATAATATACAGCAGTGAAAAACAGACTAAGTGTGTTAACATGGACAATTAGAAGAAGCCATGTTGAATGAAACGTAATTTGCAGAAGGGGCTGGATATGCATGTGTACGCACACACACAGAGTATATCATTTATCATTTATTTAATGGGATAGACATGAAACAACAATGTATATAGTTTGTGGATATATACAAATGTAATAATGTATAAAAACATAGGAAGGGGGTTCCCTGGTGGCACAGTGGTTGAGAGTCCGCCTGCCGATGCAGGGGACACGGGTTCGTGCCCCGGTCCGGGAAGATCCCACATGCCGCGGAGCGGCTAGGCCCATGAACCGTGGCCACTGAGCCTGCGCGACCGGAGCCTGTGCTCTGCAACGGGAGAGGCCACAACAGTGAGAGGCCCGTGTACTGCAAAGAAAAAAAAAAAAAACATAGGAAGGACTCCAACTCCTTCAGAATAAAGGCTCCATCTGGTTAGGGAGTCGAGGAGATGAATGGTATTCAGGAAGGTTACATGGAACTTCAACTAAATCAGTAATGTTCAAATTTATTAAAGTGGGATGCTGGACGCAGAGGTTCCTTTTATATTATTTTTATACTTTTCTGTATGTTGGAAAATTTCAGTGTTAAAACTAGAGGGAAAAAGCACTATTTAAAAGGCTTAGAATCTAGGATCACTTATTTTGTAGGTGGAAAAGCTGAGGCTGGGAGAGTTGAGTGTTTTGCTTCTCATATTTTTGAATTTTATTTAATTATCATACAGTAGAGTTGACCTTTTGGCATACAGTTCTATGAGATCTTTTTTTATTATGATAAAATACACAACATAAAATGTAACATCTTAACCATTTTTAAAGTGTACGGGGTCAGTGGCATTAAGTACATTTATGTTGCTCTGCAACCACCACCATCCATCTCCAGAACTCTTTTCATTTTGCAAAAACTGAAACTCTGTACCTACTAAGCAATAAATCCCATTACCTCCTATCTCCAGTCCCTGGCAACCAGCATTTCTGTCTTTACGATTTTGACTACTCTAGATAGGTACCTCATACAAGTGGAATCATACAGTATTTGTTCTTTTGTGACTGGCTTACTTCACTTAGCAAAATGTCCTCAAGGTTCATCCATGTTGTAGCATGTGTCACAATGTCTAAGGCAGAGTGACATTTCATTGTATGTATATAGCATATTTTGTTTATCCATTCACCTGTTGATGGACACTTGGGTTGCTTCCATGTTTTAGCTATTGTAAATAATGCTGCTATGAACATCAGTGTACAAATATCCCAGAGAACCCCTGCTTTCAATTCTTTTGGGTATATGCCCAGAATTGGAATTGCTGGATCATATAGTAATTCTATTTTTAATTTTTTGAAGAACTGCCATACTGTTTTACACAGCAGCTGTACCATTTTACATTCCCACCAACAGTGTATAAGAGTTCCAATTTGTCCATATCTTTGCCAACATTTGTTGTTTTCTGTTTTGGATAGTAGTCGTTCTAATGGTGTGAGATAGTATCTTATTATGATTTTGATTTGCATTTTATTTTCTACTTACCCTTGTGATTTCTTTTTTGATCCATTGATTGTTTAAGAATGTATTTAATTTTCACAGATTTGTGAATTTTCCCATTTTTCAGTTGACCCTTGAACAGCATGGGTTTGTACTGCATGGGTCCACTTATACACAGATTTTTTTCAATAAATACTACAGTACTGTACAATCTGCGGTTGGTTAAATCTGTGAACATGGAACTTCGGATATGGAGGGCCAACTATAGAGTTATATGCAGATATCTGCTGCTTGGGGTATTGGTGCTCCTAAACCATCCCCTGCCCGTGTTGTTCAAGGGTCAACTGTACTTCTGTTAATGATTTCTAACTTCATCCTGTTATGGTTAGAGAAGATATTTTGTGTAAT